AAGTGGATTTAGAACTGAAAACGTGACTGCCCCATCCCCCCCCCCCCAAAAAAAAGATGGAGAGATCCTCAGTAACACGCAAGCAAAATGGAAAGATGATTGAGGCTGTTCAGCAGCACCAGCTGAACAAGCGAGAAGAGGGAGGGAAAGACCACCGAAAGAAGGGATTGGCTTCCTGCTCAGGTGATTAGATCTCTCGGTGGGAGTGCCTGCAGGGGAGTCGTTCTCCGGTGAAGCCCAGCACAAGAAGGAGATTAGGAGGTCCCTGAAGTAATAGCATTTTCCCACTCATTCACCAGATGTGTACAAGTGCTGGCATGGTGTATCGTGGGAAATCTAAAGCTATTGATGAGTTGATTGAACTTCAAGCTATGTTATTTTTATAACTTGCCCCAAGAATTGCCATCTAGAGCTGCGACTAATTTGATAGATTAGGGAAATGAGGAAGGAAACACAGATGGTGAGTCCTCCCACTGGCAACCAATGAAGTATGGAGTATGCTAGGTGATCGCATGGCTTTGTGCCGGCGCCTTGTGGACGATGGTAGGACTAGGGTGTTGAAATTAGCTGTACAATAGGTTTTCAGGATTAGTCAGAGTCAGTTGATAGTACTTGATGCACTGTATGCAGGGAAAGAAACTGTGTTGTGTTGTGCAGACAGATAAACACCTGTGCATTCCTCTTCTACCTTTTTGCCTCCGTGTTTTGAGGATAGCTATGCAGCTACTTATTCAGAGGGTGTAGTTCATTGGGCAGCAAGATTTTTGAACTCGCTGTTCTTTAACTTGTAGGAAAGAGGAAGTGTGGGATTCCCGCTTCCTCTGCTCTGCCTATTTACTGAGTGATCCTTCATGCCGTGTGTATACATTGGGAAAACGGAAAGAACCTTGCTATATCCCTGGTTCAAGCATGCGAGCCAGGCTCTCTCTTCTATATTCATGTGCTGATGCCATTGGCAATGGATCAAGCCGAGGAGCTTGTTGCTGTGGAACCTCATTTGTTTTGTACACAGATGCTATCCGACCTCGAAAGCTGGCAGTACACTCAGGAGGGCGAGCGCGGAAAGAGAAAGTCAGAAAGGGCAGAAGGGAAAAAAGGAAGAGCAGGCTCTTGACTTTTCATGCTGAGAAGCCCATTTACTTCAATGCGGCAGGTGTGGAGAGTGCACAAGTTGTCAGTGGCACTTACGAGGGCGAGCGTGGAGGACGGTTCAAGTGTACTCGAGTGGGGGAAGGATCTGGGGTCGAGCATGGAGAGAACTGACTCGGAAATAAGGAGAGGCAGTAGTAAGAGTGGGAATTAGGGTGGAATTGCTGTTGTTGCTGAGCTGCGCTGCGCGTTCACCAGCTGAGATAGTCCGCTTGTCCTTCCTGGTTGGTTGGTGGGGAATGCCACTCAACCCTGAGGGGATAGGCTCAACCCATAACCCTTAGCGTAGCTTGCCGCTGGCCCGCTGGAGGGTAGATCAAGGTGTGTATCATTCCTAGTTAGGTAGGTAGTGGGAGGTATATTGAGAGAAGAATATAGCTAAGTTCACAAAAAAAATAAAGCATGGGCGGAGAAAGGAGAATGGATCCGCGTGGGGAGACTAAAGAATAAAAGAGTACAACGATCAAAAGGTGAAACACATGTTGCATACCTCGTCGGGAGCCCCTCTGACAAGGGAAACGTAGTTTGGATGAGCTTTTGAATTTGCTTGTCCTTTAATGCAAATATGAGAAAGTCATTTGGCTGCATTATTGGTTCAGAGAAAATTTGGCTCTAGGGTCAGACATAGGATTGCTTAGCTGTGACATATGACTGTGGTGTGTGAAGAAGATGTGTGCAATGGCCATTGCACTTCACAGTCTGAGAACGGTGTGTTTTCTGAGGAATCACCATCCTTTTGCTGAGTTACTGCTGTGATCTCCCTGTCTGCTATGTTTTGGCGTGCCTGTGATATGAATATTTGTCTTTCTTTGGAGTTACGGGTCTATGGGTGTTCCAATATACTAACGTGTGACCATGCGGTGTCTTGCAACTTATATGTCTGTGAGTCAGGGAAAGTACAGCGGCACGGCAGAAATCAGGCAGATAGAAAGATGGCCAAAAGTAGGACGGACAGGGGCATGTTGGAATTGTACAGGGCTCCGATAGGGTTTCCAGCAATTTGTGTAGATTTTAAGTCCTGTACGATTAGATGATGGCACTGAACCGATTCTGAGCTGATATCAGGGTTGGTAAGTTCAGTACCAGGGAGTATTGCAGTCTGTCATCATTTGGATACTGGTAGGCCTAGAGTTACCCTGCTAGAGGTAGTTTGGCTGCTGTGTAAGGACCTGCCAAACACGGACTGAGACACACAGCTGATTTCTGAGTTTTGCCAATGGAATGTATGCCTTCCTGAGTTTCCCGCTTATTGCTGAGTTTTCTAAGTCTGCGTGTGTGCGTGCTTGCTGGTCTGCGTGCCTGTCTGAGTGCTTGTCGGCTTGAGTGCGTGTGTGACCCGCAACGGTACTTGTTCGTTCGGGAGGCCCGAAGGGCCGGTACTTACCTGTGGCCGTGACTTTGAGGGTTGCAGCGGGGAATACACTCAAGTGGCGGGAGTAGGCCCGCGACACTTAGAGCAGGTGAAAAACACTCGAGTAGCAGGTAGGCCGGTACCACACCGAGTAGTGGTAGATGTGCTGGGTACTCGAGGCCGAGCAGAAGAAGAGACACATTTTTAGAGGCCCAGTAGTTGTAGGCTAGGTCTAGGTGGGTACCAGTCCAAGTAGTCTGAGTCTAGGGCCTGTACGGGCAATATCAGAGCCTGCAATGATGTTTTCCTCCGAAAAGGAGGAGGTACCGGTTGCTTGGAGGCCGTGCGGCCTCCAAATCACCACCCAAGAGGCAAGTAGGCCGCTATATCTCCAGGAGGAGCGAAGTGCTCCTCCTCATTTGCTGCGTGCGTTTGGCGACACGCTGCTGGAGCGCTGGCAGGAGCGGCGCTGGTTCGAGCAGCGCTCTGGGGAAGAGGAACACCCAGCTCCCCACCTTGGCTATGGTGGAGGAGCTCGGGTAGGAGGAGGAGGAAGAAGAGGACTCGGAAGGGGGAGCGCCAGAGGTACTTACCTGGCTATAGTGGGCGCAGCATCTGGAAGGCCCCATTGGGGTAGAGCTACATCAAGAACTTCGAGGCAGAGTCAGGCATGGCGGTCTGAGCAGGAGCAGCCATGGCTGATTTGAGTTGTCTTTTGTACGTCAGGGCAAGGCCCTAGTAATCCGCCATAGCCATGGCCTTCACGAAGAGGATGCTGTGCCTGCAGTAGAAAAGGGATTCGGACATTGATTCTGGTCCAGCCATTCATCAGTGTTATTATAATTCATTGTTTGAATAAGAGGGGACGAGAAAAGGACGAGGAGTTTGGGTGGCGTGAAGAAGGGCAATTATCATTGGTCTTTGCTGGTACTTCTTCTTCTTCTTTCTTTCTTCTTCTTCTTTCTTCTTCTTTCTTCTTCTTCTTTCTTCTTCTTTCTTCTTCTTTCTTCTTCTTCTTTCTTCTTCTTTCTTCTTCCTTCTTTCTTCTTCTTCTTCCTTCTTCTTCCTTCTTCTTCCTTCTTCTTCTTCTTTCTTCTTCTTTCTTCTTCTTCTTTCTTCTTCCTTCTTCTTCTTCTTCTTCTTCTTCCTCTTCTTCCTTCTTCTTCTTCTTCTTCTTCTTCTTCTTCTTCTTCTTCTTCTTCTTCTCCTTCTTCTCCTTCTTCTTCTTCTTCTTCTTCTTCTTCTTCCCCTCTCTCTCCTCTCATTTCATTCATTTCTTTTTGCAATTGGACTGCATTGTGCTTTCTCGTGAATTTGTACTTCGAAAATGGCCAGGATCGTAACATTGGTATCAAAGCGGATTCTACTTGCTGGAGAGAGTTGACTTTGCTGCTCCAACCCTAACCTAAGTGGGAGGGCTACCACTTAGGGTCAGGGCTGGAAGTTGAGCGAAGTGGGGCAGCGTGGTTAAAGGAACCTGTCCCCGCCTGGTTAGGTCGTGTTGGGTTGACACTGGACCTGACCAGGTTGCTTGAGAGTAAGTTTGGGGTGGCGAGACACTTCGAGAAGACTTCATGCGACATTTTGGGAGAGGCGAAAGTGTGAGGCACTCGGACCTGGAATCTGACCTAAGGGAGGCCCTTGGCGACTTTAGGGCCTTCCTCAAGTAGGCGAGCTATAGGGAGGTAGCCATTCTGTATCTACGGACTGCAAGTTGCTACTTTGATCTTCAGCACCGGGGGGGAATCCGGCGTTGCACTTTGGTGTTGGAGTCAGACCCTCCTAGTAGATAGGACACTAGTGTAGGGGTAGCGTGAAAGGGGTCAGGAGGACCATATGAGATGGGGCGAGTTCTACTTCATCTCGAAGCTCAGGCCACTTAGGTAAGTGTCGTGCACCTACGGGATGCCCATGTGTGTGTGTGCTTGTTATTGATTGTCCTGCTGGGGTAACTCGGGTTTCTTTTCCTACTCCTTTGTGGTCTTGATTGTGTGTTTGAATATGCAAACTGCTTTATCACCTGATGGATAGAGAGATGAAGTATCTTGCTTTGAGTGCCATATCTTTCTACAGTACTTTGTCTTTTTATCTCTGAACGGCTTTAGATAGTAGGTTCTCCATGAAGTTGAAACACGTTTTTTAGTTCGGTAGAGGCAGAAAGTAGGTCCGTGTGGGACTCCTCTTGGTTGGGACTCGGTCACAGCCTACGTGGGACCCTTAGTGTACCCAGTGGGACCGGGTCGAAGCAAGAAGGGCCCCTTAGACCAAAATATGTTAGATCATTCTCTTTCTGTCTGGGATGCAGAGTTCTATTCTTTGGTTAGAACACTCACTGCTGTGAAACGGTTTCACTTAGTTCGCACGACATAGACCTACCCCGAACCCCTGTACATTTACCCATTGACCGTGTTCGCCTTGAACCCACGACCTGTCCCTCAAAACGTGTATCTGTGGTTAGTGTCGGTAGTAGGGTTGTATGGACTTGAATCGTCGACCTACGGGTCAGCAGTCCTAAGGGTCAGTCTTGTAGTCTAGCCCTACGTATAGCTAAGGGTCAGCCAGTCGTAGCCTAGGAGTTTCTAGCTACTTGGCTTTTTGGAGCTGTAGGAGTCGGTCTCCGTAGCTGAGTCAGCAAGGTAGAGTCTAATTCTAGCTTAGTCAGCAGTCTTAGTCTAGAGTTCCAGTCCACCTTGTCTAGTCAGCAAGTACCAGGTGGGGCTACACACACATTGGACCTGGGACTGAAGGCAGGCTAGACCACCGACGAAACAATATAAATAAAGAGCAGTGCCAAGCCATTCATTCATTCGCCTGTGAGCCATGCGGAAGTGCTGCTTATGTGACTTATGCATTGGAGGTCTGCAGGAGCCCGGCGATGAAGTGGGCTAGTGGAAGAAGACAGCGGCCATAGCCGCGAGAGAGAGGAGGACGACGACGGCGGCAATAGCCGCCAGGTTGCTGAGGTCAACAGCTAGAGTGCAGTGTGTGTGTGTGTAGGGGCGTGGACATTCAGGGTGGATCCTAGTGCATACATGTGTGAGTGAGTGTGTCTTTGATGGTGAAGACAGTGTGCAAGGGGGAATTCAGACCAGCGTGACTTAAGCTGAGTTCCTGGCCTTCGGCCATATTTCTGAGTTTTCTGGGTGGGCGCTTTGCACCATCGCAAGTTTGCTGCTGATTCTGAGTTGAGGAAGTTGTGTTGCCATCGGCACTTACATGTATGCATGTTGCGAGTGAAATTGAGGCAAGTCTGGTTGCAGCCGAGGGGATATAGGCTGAGATGTTTTGTGTACTTTTACCGCACAGTCTGTGGCTTGGCTCACACCTTATACACCACTCGATTTTCCATTGATGCATGTTGTCACTTGTTGTCTGAATTTGTTGTACGGTCATGAAACTGATCAGATTGGGCTCGAGGGGATCTCGTATGGGGTCCGATCAGCTGAGACGTTGGATCAGACCTCTCACCATTTTTTTTTATTTTTTTATTTTTTTTATTGGTTGCTCTCTAGTCCAAATGTAAAGCCACTCCGGCTAGGAGTTCTACCTTCTCTTTCTTTTTGCATTCAGTTAGTTTCTTTTTTTGAGTTCATGTTTCGATGCCCTGTAGAGACTCGTGGACAAAAAGAGGACTCTCTCTCTCTCTCTCTCTCTCTCTCTCTCTCTCTCTCTCTCTCTCTCTCTCTCTCACACACACACAGAATATCTCAGCCTGGCCTTCTTTGGCTTTCTGAAAGGGCCGAAATATAGTAAAAAAATCTGAAAACAATTTTTTGGGGGGTGGGCCATGAACGAACAAAAAAAAAATATTCGGACCTACCGGACTGGACGTCCGCCTAGACACCCAGACGCAGACGGGCCGGAATGGGATCCGGACCTACCGGACCGGACGTCCGCCCGGACACCCAGACACGGACGGGCCGGAATGGGATCTGAACGTCCGGACGGTAACCATGCAAAGAGTCGAGCGCGCGAGGGACTGCTTGGCAGAAGCAAAGGGGTGGAAAACAATGTGCAAGTGAGAGGAGAAGAAGCGGATCGGCAGTAATGCGGATCAGCGCACGTAGAAACTGCGTCAATCGGATGGTTGTAGAAGAGCGGGAAAGCTTATAGA